GGGCCCCCAGCAATGCCCTTGAATGGACCGGAAAAGTGGACTTCTGCTGGACACAAGCTCCGTTCCACGCCGACAAACCCACCGACTCAGTCTTCTCGCCTCAAATACAACTAAGGCAAGAATCAGGACCCAGGCCTCGGGGTCTTCCACTGACCACAACACACACGTAACCTGCTGGACCCTCTCTCAACCATGTCCGGCTGCCCTGCCTCCAACACCCCTCCCCTCCGCGGTTAAATTTGGCACAGGGTACACTCTCTAATGTAAACTAATAAAGCCCCTCTACTCGCTTGTTAGAGTGAGTGACAGGGCAGCTGGCCAATGAAGGTGTCCGCTAAGTCTGTCTGGCCACAAGTGGATCTAAATATAGCACGAGGGTCTCTCCTATCATGGGGGGCATGATTTGGAGATGAGTAGCCATTTGCATCCTCAAGTTACAATCACAGTGACAGAGAGGGAAAAGTTCTGTTTCTACATTTCAGTATTGAGAGTTGGCCCAGTATACAAAGGGAAAACACAGTTCATATAATCCTAAATGAACCTTCTGTTCTTCTTTTGACAGATGTCACTCTTTACCAATGTGGTACAACTTTTTGAAAAAAACTAAAATGTTGTATAAATAAGTTCAAATAATGATACATTATCAGGCAGTTTATTACATTATATTACACAATGTACAAGTATAGTTTCAACCCACATAATATATTAACCGGATTGCATAACTGGGAGTAAATTCATATTTACATTTAAGCATAACTGTTGAATCTGAATTTTTGTATGCGATACAATGTGTATAACAATAAAACAGTTGTATGTACAGATACCAGTGTGTATTTATAATATAATAAGAGGGATATTAGGGAAAACAAGTGCAACTGTCTGTTAGTAGGCAAACCTCAAACAAAAACAACTCAGAAGCTACAAGGTAAGTATGCAGCAGTATTTACAATTAAATACATGCACAAAAACATATTTACAGTACTAGGATTCTTCAAGGTTTATTGAAATACTATTTTGCTCTGTGCACCATTCTGACTACTCTTGTCAATATACATACATTAATATTGGGTCAGTAGTAGAGATGTTTGTGGAAATGTAATTCCAAATGTTTATTTTATTATTTTGTATGCACTTGTTGAACTAAAATATCTAATAAAAGTTGTTCAATTATAGACATTATTTTAAACCAACTGTTATAAGGGCTACTACAGACCTTTAATGGAATTTACTCTATCAGCTTTTATTCAGGCTACAATTGAATATGGTACATATTAACATGTTTGATATAAATAAAACATTTGTTTTTATCCAGCATATTAATGTTTACTGTAATCTTTGCACCTATGGAGTACGGACCCCAGCGTTGTTTTTGCACAGTATGGCCGGTTATCTAAAATTATGGATTTCTTTAGTTTTAATACTAGGATTAATCCAAATTGTGTTTTAATGTTTTTGGGTTCAGGTGCCGGTGAGAAACTGAGATCCATTACTCTACTGTAGCTCTTTTCCCAACAGAAACCTTTCAAAGGGACACTTTGCCTGTAATATATTTCTAAATCAATGTTTGATGATTTTAATACATCATATATCTATAACTGTATGGCAGGAATTGGTGGTTTTTAAACAGTCTGCCAACTTACCAAACCTGCATGCTTTTCAAACAAATCCATATTTTAAATAGAATTACCAAGCAACTTTGTCGTAAACTGAATACGTTTTGATGCTCAGAATTTTTTTTCATTGGCTGAAGATACTTTGCACTTTGGCAGGTTGCTTCTCATACTGCGTACCAACATAAAACACCAAAATAAGCTATGGCAAATTGTTGACAATACACTACACCCGAAACAAAACACACCTCTTTTACTTTCACCACTGGCTCCAAATAGTTTAGACATGTTTCAACAGCAACTATACTTGTCAGTGAAAAAGAAAAAACAGATGAATAAATGAACGTTGGAATAAATCATGTATACTGTATGTACACTGACCAAAATATACAGATGCTGTGCCAGTAATGCAGAGCAACATGCTCCATGAATGTGGTTACTGTGGATTAGTTCAAAGGGAAACAGCAGAGTCTCAGAAAGCAGAACACCTCTCATCTTTCTCAATTGGGCTCTTTTTGGTCACAGATAACTTAGATTTGAGAGAATGGTCTGCGATCAGCTGATTGATTTCATTTTGCTTATAAGTAGAGAATCTTTGACTTATCCAAGCTCCTTTTGACCCCTCCTCGGGGCCTCGTATGCACCGCTGACAGGCCCTGCCGATGAGGTACAGAACCTCGGCCAGGTTGAGCAGCACACACAGCCCAGACACTGCCAGCATGAACACAGTGAAGATGGTCTTTTCTGTCGGTCTGGAGACAAAACAGTCCACCGTGTTGGGGCATGGGTACGAGTCACACTTCACCAAACGCACCATCCTAAAGCCAGGATAGATCAAGTAGAAAATGTAGAGAAAAGCCAGCTCGAACAGGATTCTGAAGATGATGCTGAGCATGTATGTCCACCACAGAGCTCCACTGATCTGAAACTTCTGGGTCTTGATACGTTCCAGCTCCTTGGGGCTGCTGCGGCCCGACTTCCTCAGGATCTTCTTCTCGATGTGGCGTCGGTGGGCCACATGCATGGCCACCAGCAGGGCGGGGGTGGAGACCAGGATGAGCTGGAGGGCCCACAGGCGGATGTGCGAGATGGGGAAGAACTGGTCGTAGCAGACGCTGTTGCAGCCGGGCTGCTGGGTGTTGCATGTAAAGCCGGACTTCTCATCCCCCCAAACGCTCTCCGCAGCCACCACCAGTACCAGGATACGGAAGATGAAGATGACGGAGAGCCAAACGCGTCCGATCCCGGTAGAGTGCCTGTTTACGCCGCTGATCACGGCATAAAAGGCTCCCCAGTTCATTTTCGACTCCAGGTCTGCGGAAAAAGAAAGGTTATATGAATGTAAGCCAAGTCACATCTCTGGCTTAAAGTTAAATCTTATAACCATATTAATGTTTAAAGAAACATGCAGGAATTAGTCCTTGAAATTGAACAAAAGGGACTTACATAGACATTGGTTTATCACTTTAGACGACTTAGTTATTGTCTGCCACACCTTAGTAATTTAGTAAAAGTCTAACTGATGTTACAGTAGTTTTAGAGGTTTACCAGGCTCAGCCAGCGGTGCAAGCAGCGTAAGCAGCGCCGGGTCCAAAGATGACCATCTTGAGGTTTGGCCTGAGCATCAAGCTGGCAGAGTGAGGAACAACAGAAAATAATTGCCAAGTAGCAAGTTGGCCGTATAAAAGCAGGGGTGATGGCCTGCTGCTGTGCGCCGTCACCATACGCAACAGGGCGAAGCCAATTGCGAAAGATTCGGCGAGCCACGTGATTTGCTCACGCTGTATTAATACTGTACTCCCAAACTGACCCACAGCCCAGAAGCAGACAGACTGACATCCTGCCAGCAAATTCCTCCAAGGAACAAGCAAGACAACCAACTCATGAGATTTTTTTTTTTTTAAAAGACAACTGAGAGATCTCTTTTGTTTGTGACAAAGGCTACAGACGATACCAGATTTACCTAGTGCGAACATTATAAGCTGATTAATTCAAATAAAATCACTTCAAATGGTAATGATGCTTTAACAATCACGGCAAGTATTTGTCAAGTCGAGGCAATGGGGCGTGTAAGCCCTCACTCACATAAAATCAGACCTCATTGCACACTGAATGTTAGTATAAAATAGAAACAAATGATCAACATTTTACCTTCAGTTGTGTTGGTACACAAAAATGTGTACAAAGAAGAAATGAATTAAAATACTGTGTTTTTTAGCAAGCCTAAAGGCTGGGTTGAGAACACCCTGCGTTTGGAAAATGCTAATCATTCCTCCGCCACTAGCCAGTGCCCTGCACCGTAGCAGTCATATGCTCTTATATAAACTATTTACATACAATGGCAGCCTTTATTGTGCTGCAACAAGACTCTTTAGAATTCAGATCAAACGCCTTGACTTCCGCCTACCCCGGGCAAAAGGAGGAATCTGTGTGGACACAAAAGGCCTCTGCCAGAAAAACAATTTATTGTGCTGGTCAGGGTAGGAAGATTTGGACCTGCATGAGGTTTGCAGATTCAGACAGAAAATTAGCTGTATAACTAACGTAAAACACGGATGTAGGAGAAAATTAAAAAGCCAGTCTTAAAGAGAATCTCATTCATACACACCATTTGATAAAAACCTTTCTTACAACTTGTTCAGTGGTTTTTGCAAAAATAGCCATGTCCCAAATAAAGATATCTATTCAATGGCTTCTAATATTGAATATTGCTTTTATTCTCGTTTAGTTTTTTATGCATTTATTTGTATGTTTTTTGTTATTGTTGATGTATCATACAGGTCCATTTTCTTTCTTGATTTGTACAACTGTACATGCTGCAATACTGTAAATTATGTTATTTGTTATTAAATTAAATAGTTGTGCCATGTGCTTTTCTTACTGACATTTTGCCCGGGAACTAATTATCTTGGCCTTAACTCATTTTAAATAACATTTTATTATATTGATTTGTTTTGATAACCCTTTGTGGGAACCTATAGAATCACACTCTAGGACACATATCCAGAAGTTTTGATTATAGTTGTTTATTGCATTGACTGTACAGTATATGCTATAAAACACTAATGTCCTAACCAATGAGCTACAGAACTGCAGCTCAAACCTTTGATTATTATGAGCTGAGATTGTACATTTCGTTCCTGTCAAACACCCCCCTATAACAGTAGGAAAGATTATTTACAGTAGCAAGTGAAAACACAATGTGGCCATTTGTCATGTACCATCAGATGACCTACAGCGATTCACTGTGCAACGAGCATTTCTGCGTCACGTCTGACATATGGAGTGGGAGGCTTAGGGGGGGCAGCTAATTCTTTGAATGAACTAACCTAATTATTATTCCTTCGTAGAAGCTACAGTACTCTACAACACAAAGACAGACCAAACTAGTAGATTTGTAGTTTTATTATGAAAGCAGAACTATATACACTGGAAATTCAAAATAGTAAATGTGCCATTATATAAGAACTCAATATTAACCAGGGTAACATGGCTTCAACAACAGTTATTACGAAAGGAATTGGGCATTAAATAACAAAACCTTCTGCATGTGGCACAGAGACAAATCAAGTATCACTTAATGCAAAACAGGTTAAACTGAACTAGCACGTGTAGTGACTGGGATAAGGACTTGGCTGCTTTTAAAGTACATGGGGGGGATTGTTCTAATAAAACAAAGAGCACCACATTTAGGTATCCATGTCACCATACAGTTTACAAGCACAACCTGATTTAAAAAATGTGTTTCAATTATTTCTATCAGTGCTTCAAAGAAGTTATATTTTGTGCGAAATAAAAAAAAATACATTTCTTAAGACCCCATGATGTTATAAGTAACATTAGCCTAACTTTCACTAGACGTACCTTTGACTAAGGGGGCTCCAATCAAGATTTGTGGGGCCGATCATGGGTTCTGTTTGAAACCATTTCTCTGTGATTCTCCTCCTTTGCTGTTTAAATGTATGTGACTTTGCTCTCAACAACTGATAAATATGTCAAATAGGTAATCAAAATATTGAAAATGTTTCAATTCCAAATACAACATAAAAAGATACAAAAGCTGATACATTCTACTTAATGTAAACACATGCCGGTTTTAAATCAAAATATATATTTACTTTATTTATTTAATGAAATATCCTTGTACTGCCACAGCAGTTTGTCAATGTATAACCTGAAAGTCCTCTGTGTGTTCAAACGACCCTGATGATTTATTCCTCATTTAAGAATCACTAAAAATGTCTCGGTGTTTAGCTTTGAGTGCTTCATGGCCTGTCTGCCATTTGTATTTGACATGCTTTCTGTATCAAGGCTTACTATTACGAGTTTAGCGCGAGATTACGTATTTCTTCCACTCGGAGTCCTGTTTCTTCACTTTATCTTGATATTTGCCTAAAAAACAAAACACAAGATTTGTAAAAAATCAGCACTGCTCTGTTCATACAGAGGCAATACTGCCACCTGCTGTTGATGCACAATTTTGGGTAAACAACTTCCAAACTGGAGCTATACTCACTTCTTTTCATGAGTTTGCTATGGATGGCATGTCCGTTCTGGGCCAGTCTCAAAGACAGTGATGCACCCCTCCTGAAATAATAATAATAATACCATTGTACCGTTAGGATATTGTGCCGTTAGCAAGCTTGAAATTGTACTCTGTAACCTTAATAAAGTCAACATATATTCACTCACTGTAATACTTATCAACAAAACCCACAATTTGTACAATGATAGCAATACAATTTAAACAAATGAAAACACTTGTAAATAAGTCATTACATTTTGACTTTATCAGCTTTTTTAAATGAACAATTCAAAATCAACTGGCTGTTTCATACTGGAGTACCTCATAGCTCTGAGCTTTCCTTTTTCCAAGAATAGCTCGACTGTAACTTTGGGTCCCTGTGGGTAAAGCCTGGCATAGAGCGTCCTGTTGTCCACCATATTCCTGAACCAGCCCACCGCCTCCTCAGACCAAACACTCCCATTCACAGGCGTCACCTAGGGGGGAGGAAACAAACAAAAAACCCCATGAACTGAGATAATTCATTTCCTTTATCACATCCCAATAGATAAGGCTGTGACTAATCATGTGGACAAACGCCAAAACTGTAACCAAGCGTACTTTCTCACAGAGGAACACAATATATTTGCCTTTTCCGTGAATGCAAATCCTAGGAGGGATGATCTGCACGCCTGCTGCAGAATATCTTAGCGTGTTCGTCAGGTTCTCTAGATACATGTGAAAAAGATTATGAGGCCTAACCATACAAAACAGGGAAGCACTTACATTTGCTAGTGAGACCTGTACAGCCTGAAGTGGTAGGACGGCCATTTCCGGGGTCAGCTCCTTGATGTCCGACAGCGACAGGCAGGCTGTATCACCCTGGTCCAGCCTCTTCACCTCCACCTTGATGGATGTCTCTCTCCCTCCACCATCAGTGGAATAAATAAAGGAAAACCAAAAGGCAGAAATTATGGCAACTCAAATAAAAAAGTGACACTGCTACCATCTAGAGGTATGCTTTGGCAAACATCTATGAATGTTCCAATACACAAAACTGGACCCACCTTCACTTACTCCACATATCTTTGTCACCCGAGTCCTGCACCATTGTTCTTGCTTAGGGAACCAACCTATTACTTGGGTTCCAATGTCTGGAATGCAGTTCTGCGCGGCATATGATCTACTGGCTTTCCAGCTGCTGCAAATGAGCAAAAAATAATGGCAACCAGACACATGTGGATTATTAAAAATGGAAGAAAAAAAAAAATCTACAAAGAAAGCAAAAATGAATTAAAGGATAAGTGGCTATATAAGTTCTGGTAATGTGATTAGTGAATCAGTGAGGCTTAAAAAAAAAGCAGACATGAGATTAGAATTCATTCTGAACGACTCACTCTGGGACAAGGGTTTGCCACTTCATGATGGAGTCTGCGTGGTGTACGTAGAAGTTGCCTGGGCTGACAATGTGAGACACCACTACCTCCATCTCTTCAAACCTGCAGGTCTGGAACTGAGGAATGGTGATGCACTTCATTGCTGGAGTTTTTACACCATCAAAATGGCTTGCATGTTTGGGATCAGTGCTCTGAAGACTTTGGTTTTCCCTCTGGGCGTTTAGGCAGTTGTGCTCCACCTGAGGTGTAATATTTGGGCAGTCTTTATTTTCGAAGGGGATGGCTTTCAAGTCTCCCCGTCGCACCTCAGTGAAGATGTCTCCAATATCCCACAATTCAGTCTTTGTTGCAATCACACAAGTGTAGGTCAGAGAACCACTCGTTTCCACTCTTTTCACTCTGAAGACTGGGGCTTGGTTTTCCATGTCTGCAAATAACGTTTTCGGCTCTAGTGGGTTGGTCAGATCATCTGTCACAACTTGTCTGAATTGGTAGCTTTGTGTTTTGATGGCAGGCCGCTCTGGCGAACTCAAGGTACTGTTACTCCACTCCATGACAGTGATCTCCAGTACTCCAATGTTTTTAACTTTTTCTCTGAGGAAGTGAAGCAGCTGAGATGATGTTTGTTTTTGCTGTTTCACCTGGAAATCATCTTTACATCCCCAGCTCATTAGCGGAGTTATTTTCATTGGATTAGTGTTACTGATCCCTGGGAATGAAGCTTGTAGGGGAGGCAGTAGTATTGGTGGCCTCTCTGGGTTGATCTCGGGTCTCTCGGACGCAGGTGGAAGACTCACAGCATCTGTTGGGCGTTTCTCATCTAAAACAACAGCATGTTCTTTTTCTTCAGCCTCTAAGTGAGACGATGAGGTCGTAGTCGCTCTGTTGATGCCGTGTTTGATGTCATCCTGTTGGACTGCTGCAGGCTTGGAGATAAGCTGGCCACACACTTGTGGCTCTGTAAAGATAAGAAAAGGAGAAAGTGAGAATTTTATTTTTTTAGCTCTGAACATCTTTTCCTAAATCCTAAAGTTGTACACGTGAAAATATGTAATGTCACATAAGCATCTTAAATTGTATGATTATTTCTTTACTTACCAACTGTGAGAGATTTTAATGAAGCTGAAAGCTTGTCAATGACTTCATATTTTGTATCTAAAGCCTTTGTGAGATCACTGAAGACACTAGTGGGAAAAGATGTATTAAAGAAACCTTGAACTTCTTCATAGGCCTAGAGGAAAAATGAAACAAAATGAAACAAGTGAAATAATTATTTTGTCTTAGCCTTTCTTAAACAGGTAAAGGCCTTTGAGATCAATTAAGTATTTTACATGGCACAGAAGACAGTTGGAACACAAAAAACTGCTTTAACTTCAAGGTTTAAGGCGGGTCTGGATTATTCAATGCAGCTTTAAATTCAAGCAGGAACATTTGTTTTTGTTTATCAAATATACAAGAAACACTTACTGTTGTGCTTATTACTTCATCAATTTAGGTAACATACATTAATTGATAATGTAATAGTTTACAAGACCCATTAGGCTCTGAGAAACATTGATGACTCCGATGTATCAATCAAGATAGTCGTGAAACGTGTTAACCGATATTAATAATGTGCACAAGTTGTAGCTCTGGTGACTATTTGACACATATTTAAACTGTGCTTTGTTTGTATAAAATTCAGCAGTTCCTGCCAACTAATGCTAATTATTATAGCTAAGTGTGCCTAATTAGCATGGACCCGTTCTCGACTAGTCAGCAGTGTGTTGTCCATGTGGCCTGTGAGCTAGCTAAGTTAGCAACATTAATTGAACGTTTTCAATGAACCGGTGTGTTAACATTACCTTTTTGATGAAGTTGGACAGTTCTTGTTCAAGTTTACTTCGGGCAGTTTCCAGCATGAAGAGCTTGAGCGTGAACTGCACTCTCTGGGACATGATGGAGGGCTGCGGCTGGCGGCGGACAACCTGTTGCTGAGAAGTCATGGTCGGCAGAGAAGACTGGTATGGAAAAGCCCAATGTGCCACAATACCAAGCGGCAAACTCTGGGGAAGAGCCGGTGTTACCGTTTAACTGGTGACGCGGGGGAACTCGTGACGTTCTATAAAATACATATACACATTTCGATCGCTTCTTCTGTCGTTTACATTAATCTTTTGGTATATTTGGCTGGATAGGAACACTTTGATGCACATTCAGTACCAGTGTGTGAGGTTGTGTTTGCGATGCCGATATCCGGACGCGTACAGCGAGGACTACAAAATGACAATGAGGTGACTGGGGATGTCTGTTCAAACCATTGCACGTTTGAATAAATCATTTAAACCAGTTATTTTTGCCAGACTTATTACTGAATATCGTTCTTAATGTGATACCAAGTCCATCTGAGACCCGTGTACACCTTCAGACAGCCTCCAAGTGAAGCACACGTTGTTTACTCACAGTTTGAAAGCAGCGTGGAGAAGTCTTCAGCTGTGGAGCTGTGATCCGCCCAGTTTAACTTGTGACACGACTTCTGTTCTGTGGCTATCAACCAGCAATCATGTTTAATATTAAAGACTACACACATCATGTGGCGACTGGTCATTAGGGGCAGGTGGGGCACAGCCCCACCTAGTGTCAGCAGAAAGTATTACAAATAATGATTACAAAAATGCAAAAAAATAAATAAAAAAATATATAAAATATATTTTAAGATCATGTTTAATCATCTGATTCGTCTGTACATTGCTGTTTTAGTCTGTGTTCTTCTAATTAGTGTGTCTACAGTCACAGTGTGTGCCTATTGAGCTGTTTAGAGCCATGTGGGACAAAACCTGATTATGCCCCTCCCTCTCGCTGTGAAGTCAACGGTGACTGTAAAAACTACACTGCGCATGCTCAGAGTATTTTGTAATGAAATGTGTGTGGCAAAAAAATAATGACCAGAGGGGCATGGAGCTACCATCCCCACCATACGTCATCTCAAATCATTCAGAGCTGATTGGCTGTAAGTACGTGTGCCGCGAAAAGTGTGGTGTGTGAAGAGGAGACGAGAGAGCTGCAGTGACGCGTCCTAAAACCAGGAAGTAAGCTGCGCATGGCTTCCCTCGACAAAAAAGCAATGAGATTTCTCCAGAGGATTTTAGAAAATAGCTGGAAATAAGATCTGTGGGAAACGTATCTGTTAGATAAATGCACGTTTTGATCAGCCGGATAACATCCACATGTCTACCCTACTTTTATAATTTTTTTATCATAAATCTATGGATTAGATTTATGATAGACTTTTGAAACTACAAGAACATAAGGAGGACTTTTACAAAAAAGTTATAGACATTTTTGTCCAGAAGGATAGGCAAATGGACTTCATCTTCAAGTCAAGGTAAGACCGCAATTTGATTGAAAATGGGATCTTACTAAGAGAGAACAATTCAATATTTAAATGATAAAATTACATTTTTTGGGTATCCTTTTGTTGAACTGTCTGTTTAAAATTAATCGAAGCATCAGACAAAAAAAGCTTTTGAAAATAATATTATATTTTGGTTTAGGTCAAAATATAATATTTGTAAACCTGAAGAGTCAGTGCCAGTGCCTCACCAGCCATGAACCTCACTGCACGTCACTGCAGAAGCTTATATATAGACATCTACGTTTTTTGTGCCCCACCACTTTTGTACATATAAAAACGCCACTGCACACATGTATCCCTTATCAAAACGGTATTCTGCACTTTGCAGCACTTATCCAGATAAGATGTGACTGTTTACTCGTTTTGCAAAGATAGCAGCAGAAATGTCATTGCTGCATGTGCAGGGATATTTAGACTGTAAAATGCTGCTTGGTCATTCATTTTGGTCTCCGCAAACAATATTATGAATCCTCTATTCAAACATATAATTCAGTGTCCATCGACATGAAAATAACTAAAACGTTCATGCTGGACTCAAACCTGAGTCCCATCAGGTAAAATCACTCTAATCCTGCGCGTTGTGAGTGAGCCACAAATCATTACGACATATTCGTTCATCACAGCTACATTTTTAATTTTTTACACATTAACATTGTTAAAAGATTCAGAAAAATGCAAGCTAACCATCATTTATAATGCGAGCGAATTTATGTACACTTAAGCCATATAATATACATATTATAGTAGGCATTTGCTTTTAAATAGTATAGCTTGCTGACTGAGGTCTGTATCAAGTCTCATTAAGACCCACCGAGATCAGATATCCTAGTTTATCAGCCTGCGAGCCCACATTATGTTGTGATAAGTGGTCATTTTACATATAAATGTATTCCAGTGCACACATTAAGTTATATATAAATATAAAATATGCTAATCAGGCCATGTGTTTCGTTATGTAGTATAATCATCACCGACAGATGGAAAGACAACAATAACAAGGAATTCATATTAATATTACAAAGTTACACAGAAATAGATACAACATATAAGACAAAATAACACAAAGATAAAAGCATAAACGTTAAGATAGAAACGAAAACATGTTCACAGCAGAGTAAAAATTATGAATATATGTGTTTGTAGTTCTCAACGTATGTGAGTATCCTCGTCATTCGGTTTGTGTCGCTGTATCGATGCATAACGAAAGTTAACCAAGTAAACAGTCACATCTTATCTGGATAAGTGCTGCAAAGTGCAGAATACCGTTTTGATAAGGGAGACATGTGTGTAGTCTTTAATATTAAACATGATTGCTGGTTGATAGCCACAGAACAGAAGTCGTATCACAAGTTAAACTGGGCGGATCACAGCTCAGCTGAAGACTTCTCCACGCTGCTTTCAAACTGTGAGTAAACAACGTGTGCTTCACTTGGAGGCTGTCTGAAGGTGTACACAGGTCTCAGATGGACTTGGTATCACATTAAGAACGATATTCAGTAATAAGTCTGGCAAAAATAACTGGTTTAAATGAGTTATTCAAGCGTGCAATGTTTTGAACACACACATCCCCAGTCACCTCATGTGTCATTTTGTAGTCCTCGCTGTACGCGTCCGGATATCGGCATCGCAAACACAACCTCACACACTGGTACTGAATGTGCATCAAAGTGTTCCTATCCAGCCAAATATACCAAAAGATTAATGTAAACGACAGAAGAAGCGATCGAAATGTGTATATGTATTTTATAGAACGTCACGAGTTCCCCCGCGTCACCAGTTAAACGGTAACACCGGGACGCCAATACGGAAGTGCCACAAACTGCAGTTCATATATTGGCCGATAGGCGCTGACTGCAGAAAGGAGCAATTTCCATAGACCCCCATGTTAAAATGCCCAATTTCACAGCCTAAAAAAACATGTTTCTACCCATGGATCCAATAAATATTATTATAGATATAGTTAGATTCCACCTTCATGATTATGAATCTGTGAGTGAATTGTTTTCTAACATGACCCTTTTATTTATATTAGGTCTAAAAGTTTTTGCATAAAGTAGGGCGTGGTCACATTGAGTGACAGCTCTGTCAAGTGACTGCTGCTGTTAGCTTCTTGTCTCTCTGCTAGCTGCTCCATCTCCGTGAAGCTACAGGGACTCTGCCTGCTCAGTTCATCCAGGGAACACAACTTGACCCCGGCCGTGTTTGTTTGTTCTTCATGCTTATATATCGGACTATTGTGACTCGCTCTGCGGTTAAAACAGACGGTGCATGAATGCCGTTTTGCGGTAAGTGAAATTCGAGTACTTTATTTATGTGTTTATGATTTTAATCGGCTACGTAATGAATGTGTTAGCGTGTAAGCGAGTGGTAGCTACATCGGTGCTAACGATGCTAATCGTAGCCTGCAAGTTAAAACCATAGACTGTATATATAAAGGTTAAAACGAAATAGACAAGTGTTAAGTGGGATAATACTGTAGAACAAACGGCTTCTGTTTGAGGTTGATACAATAAGGTCATCCTTGTAACTTAGAGAGATATTTTATTATGTAGGTAGGAACTTTATGCATCGCTAAGGTTAATTTAAATTGGCTATGCTCGAGTATGTAGACAAGCTAATGTCAAAGTAGTGTATGTGAAATCAACCTCACAATAAGATGTGTGTATATTACAATTATTAATGTCATGACTCATATTTCAAGATGATTACTTAGATATTATAATATGGTTGGTTGAGCTGGAGTTCATTATTGAGCTTACACGTTAACGTCACAGTCATCTGAAGAACGAACCCAAACCTTGTTGTTTTTATTAATTGCATTACCAAATTGGTATCAAATAAATAGTAAGCATTGGTAACACAACTTCCAAAGTTACAGTAAAATAAAAAGGACCCTGACTCGGCCAATACACAATCCAACATGTTCAACAGAAGATAATAAGTTATATTGTTTGTACACATGGTACTTTACATATATATATCTGTTTGTTTAAAGTGTCCAGGTGATGCAGACAGGCTGGACCAGAGAGTGAGAGACAGAACTGGACTCCTCACAGCAGTGAACTTCAGCACAGGTACAAAGACTCTTTTTTCATACTGTACAAAGAATCAAGAAAGATATTGGTTTAAGTAAATGAAGTATTGACTTTAATACACTGATATACATTCCATTAAACAATACTAAATACTAGATCACCTACACATCAGTTAAGTTGAGGGTTTTTTCCATGCAAAGGGTTACATTTAGATGTTAACAAGCAATATGACTGTCAGCTTTCTAATTTAATGTATTGAAGGCAAAGCTATTTAACACATAGTGAGAACTGCTATTTATCTCTCAATATTGTCTGTAAAAAACGTGGTAAAAGTGATTCTTTCAGTGCAACAACAGAGCAAGCTTCTACAGTTGCACCACGTTTTGATAACAGTTCAATATTATTTTGATAATAAAATATATTTCAATGTTGATGCATTTCATACTGTTCATTCATAATCTGATTGTCTTTGTAGCTCACTGTTGAAATAAAAAAAAACATACAAAACATATAAAATAATTATATCTACAGCCCCTAAACACACAAACACACCGCTTTCATAAATAACACAATAATAATATGTTTTATGTTTCCTGTAATTTTTGTTAGGAAAGGACATGCCTGAAAGACACGACTCAACATTTTCTCCTTCTCTGAGGGTCAAGAAGAACATTAAAAGCTGATGTTATGAGATGTTAAGACCAGTACAGGACATTCACTAAGAAACTACTTTTATTGTGAAAACACAGTCAGCTGATCGAATGCACCTATTTCCACATCTACACTCCATCAGCTGATTCTGAATTCTGTTTGCCTCACTTTATGAGCTTCACATCACATGTACCTTGTACCGCAGAGTTTGCAACGTCACAAATAAATGGGGCCAATCTTCAGTCAGATGTGAATGTGTAATCTAACATTTTCAGTAAGAATAATGGACAAAAGAAGTGCAAATACAAATTCAATTTATTGAAATGTGAACCAAAAGTTAATCAAACATGTTTTAAATAAAAAAGCACATATGGACAGAAGGTGTAAACCTATTAAATGTATAAGTAAACACATTTAGTCAAATAAAGTGACAGACAAGGCCTGTGCAGTTGGTATCAGCTATGC